TCAGCGTATGTTTTCAGTTGTTGTTGATGACTTAAGAAATAAGAATATTGTGTTTAGTCTCAATCATTGTTCAACAAAGTGGTATCAGAGCCAATATGGTTTCATACGCTGGAAATGGTCTGCAACCTCAGTTACCCAAACTTGTTGGACAGAATTGCCATCACTGGAGTATTCAGATGAAGGTTCTTTATGAATCACAGGATTTGTGGAATATTGTCGAAAACGGGTTTGTGGAACCAGAAGATCAGAGTACTTTTTCAGCCCAACAAATTACGGAACTTAGAGAAAACAAAAAGAAAGATAGGAAGGCTTTGTTCTTTATCTTCCAATCTGTAGATGAAGCGATATTTGAAAGGATTTCGAAGTCTACAACATCAAAACAAGCATGGGATTCTTTGTACAAAGCCTATCGCGGTGAAGAGAAAGTAAAAATGGTTAGATTACAAACTCTTCGATGTGAATTTGATAATTTAAGAATGAAAGATTCGGAGTCCGTCGAAGATTACTACAATCATGTTATTCTACTGCTTAATCAAATGAGAGTTAACGGCAAAGAAATTCAAGATAAACGTGTGGTTGAGAAAATCTTATGAAGCCTCACCAGAAAATTTGAATACATAGTCGTTGCGATCGAGGAGTCCAAAGATTTGTCAAACATGTCATTAGAAGAATTACTTGGAACACTTCAATCACACGAACTTAGAATTAAGCAATTTGATAATGCTCCTATGGAACATGCATTTCAATTACAATCCTTTAGTTCTGGAAATAGGTCTGAAAATCAAACTACAGCAGAAGGATCAAAGGATGAGTCCAGTTCTCCAAATAAAGATAAGGGTCATATAAATCCTTCTCTTAGGTTCAGTGCTACTATGGCTCTAAGTTCGGGCATATAAAGAGATTTTGTAGGAAACGCATAGCATACGAGAAACAAGGTACTAGTTTGTTGCATAAAGAAGATGAAAATGATGATGACATAATGTTCATGCTTTTTAGTCTACAAGAGTCAATGACAAGTGAAACTTGGTATTTGGACAGTGGTTGCAGTAACCACATGTCCGGAAATAAAGCTTTGTTTGTGAATCTTGGAGAATCCTTTAAAAAGGAAGTTCGCACAGGAGATGACAAGAAATTGGCTGTGCAAGGAAGTGGTGATGTGTTAGTGAAAACTAGGAATGGAGAGAAGAAAATCTCAAATGTGTATTATGTGCCAGGATTGAAACATAACTTATTGAGTGTTGGGCAATTAGTATCAAAAGGATACAATTTGCACTTTAAAGATCAATTATGCGAGATAATGGATCCAAATAATGTGCTTCTGGGAAAGGTTTACATGTCTTCAAACAAAATGTTTGCTATCAAGTTCTTGGATGATATTCATTTTAACCTCAGTATGACAAGTTCAAACCTATCAGAACTCTGGCACAAAAGGTTTGGTCACGTTAACTATGGGTCTTTAAATTTTATGGCAAGGCACAAGATGGTACACGGGCTACCTAGTATTACCACTACTAAAGCAGTTTGCGAATGATGCATGTTGGGTAAACATGCACGTGATTCGTTTCCACAAGAAGCAACTTGGAGGGCAACAAGAACTTTGGAATTGGTTCACACAGATATCTGTGGACCTATGAGGACACCCTCAATCGGGGGTAGCAGGTACGTGCTAACTTTTATCGATAATCTAAGTAGAAAAGTATGGGTGAAGTTTTTAAAAGAAAAATCTGAAACCTTTAACTGTTTTCAAAAGTTTAAAACTTACGTTGAAAAACAAAGTGGGAATAAGATCAAAGGTTTAAGATCAGATTGTGGAGGTGAATACACAAGTGTTGAATTTCAACAATTTCTACAAGATCATGGCATTCGTCATCAACATACGACGAGATACACACCCCAACAAAATGGGGTGGCCGAAATAAAAAATAGGACTCTACTTGAGATGGCTAGGAGTATGTTGAAAGACAAAAGCCTCTCTAACATGTTCTGGGCTGAGGCCATCGCTTGTGCTACATATATACTGAATCGTACGACTTCAAGAAGCTTGAATAACGTCACACCATATGAAGCCTGGAGTGGACGTAAACCCACCGTGAATCATTTCAGAATCTTTGGGTGTTTGGCTTATTCACATATTCCTGATCAAAGAAGAAGTAAATTGGATGACAAATATGAAAAGGTGATTTTTGTTGGTTATAGTGAAACATCGAATGCCTATAAATTGTTTAATCCCCACACAAAGAAGGTTATCTTGAGTCGTGATGTTGTTTTTGACGAAGCAAGAACGTGGGATGACGCATTGATAACGGATAAAGTTCGAGAATCCATCTTGCAAAATGAGGACGTCCAAGATAAAACTAACATTCATAATAATGAGGAGTCACCTACAACAACATCCACTCCTATTAATTCACCATTAAACACTCCTGTGAACTTTCCTTCTATGCAAAGTATGAATACTAATCTCTCTTCCTCTAGCAGTCCTATTAGGAAAACAAGAGCCTTGGACGATATCTATGCAGAAACTCAGCCACTGGATTTCGATGCGGCGATGGATTTTGTTCTATTCGTAGATGTTGATCCAATACATTTTGAGGATGCTTATCAAGCAAAGCATTGGAGGGATGCAATGGACGATGAGATCAATTCCATTATGAAGAATAAAACATGGGAACTTGTGGAATTACCAAGGGATCATAAGGCTATTGGGGTAAAATGGGTTTATAAAACCAAAATAAATGAGAAGGGAGAAGTGGATAAATATAAAGCTCGTTTCATAGTGAAAGGATATAGCCAAAAATTTGGTATCGATTACACTGAAGTATTTGCTCCAGTCGTAAGATTGGAAACTATACGTCTAGTCTTGGCTTTGGCTGCACATAATACATGGGAAGTCCACCAAATGGACGTAAAGTCTGCGTTTTTAAATGGCAGATTGGATGAAGTAGTATACGTCGAACAACCGGAGGGATACATCAAGATAGGAGAAGAAAGAAAGGTTTGTCGTCTTAATAAAGCTTTATATGGGCTTAAACAGGCACCACGTGCCTGGTATAGCCGTATAAATGGGTATTTTATTGAAAATGGATTCATGAAATGTGCTCTTGAACACACGTTATACATAAAGAAACTGGAAGGAAATCTGTTGATTGTTTGTTTATATGTTGATGATCTTGTTTTCACAAGTAACTCTTCCAAGATGATCCACTCCTTCAAAGAGTCTATGAAAAAGGAGTTCGAGATGTCTGACTTGGGGCTTCTGCATTACTTTCTTGGAATTGAGGTCAAGCAAAGCAAGAATGAGATTTTTATCTCACAAAAAGGTACGCAGATGAAGTACTTAAAAGATTTAACATGGTTGACTCAAGTCCTATTTCAACTCCAATGGAGTTTGGTTTACGTCTAATGAGGGACTCCACTGAAAAAGGTGTCAATTCTAGTATCTATCGTAGCCTTGTAGGAAGTTTCATGTATTTAACGGCATCAAGGCCATACATCACTTTTGCAGTTAGCGTGATTAGCAGATATATGGACTCTCCTAAGGCTACTCATTGGGAAGCTGCTAAGAGGATTCTTAGGTACGTAAAGGGGACCTTGGATCATGGAATACTCTACCAAAAGGTTGATAAGTTCGTTCTAAAAGGTTATAGCGACAGTGACTTTGGAGGGGATCAAGAAGATAGCAAAAGCACATCAGGATATATTTTTAATTTGGGTTCGGGTGCATTTTCTTGGCAATCGAAGAAACAAAGTATAGTTGCCTTGTCCTCCCCTGAAGCCGAGTACATGTCTTTATCTATTGCTGGGTGTCAAGCAATATGGTTAAGAGAAGTCTTAAAGGAACTGTGTTATCCTCAAGGGGAAGCTACTAGCATTTTATGCGATAATAAATCTGCTATTGCTCTCTCCAAAAATCCAGTCTTCCATGGGAAAAGCAAACATACACGAATCAAGTTTCACTTCGTTCGTGAATTGGTCAAAAATCAAGAGATTGAAGTCGAGTATTGTTGCACCAAAGATCAGGTTGCTGATATATTAACTAAATATCTACAAGTTGGGGCCTTCAATTATTTAAAGAACAAGTTGGGCATTATTGGTTTCTAGCTTAAGGGGAAGTGTTAAATTTAAGCTAGACTTAGTTTATATATATTTATTTATATGTTTATGGTAATTACGGTAGTTACTTAACCGTTTCCTCTATGAAGGGTTACAACGGTTGGTAAACTATATATATGTNAACCGTTTCCTCTATGAAGGGTTACAACGGTTGGTAAACTATATATATGTGTATCAGCGTATGTTTTCAGTTGTTGTTGATGACTTAAGAAATAAAAATATTGTGTTTAGTCTCAATCATTGTTCAACAATATATATGATCACAAAATATATATGATCACAAAATAAACCAAGATAAAGAAAACTTCGATACAGTTCTAGAGAGAGAAGGAGAAAGCATGATTTTGTTATGTTGGATGAAATTCATATGCATCTCACTTTTATTAATGTTACAACACAAGAAGCTAACCAACAAATTATCAACCTCATAATCGACTTAATTAGCTATCTCAAATCACAACTTGCCACGTTTCACTATTACTCGTATGATGTACATGTAACCTCTTTAAAAAATCATCAAGCCCCCATACGATAAGTTGGAATGGCCAGCAAGGGCTCAATTTTTGGCATGTTCAATCCAGATTTTTCATTCATATCCAAGTCATTAGGTGACATGCCATTTGGTAGTATCCAGTCGAAGCAATGAACTAGGTTCGAAACTGCTAAACCAATGTTTATTAATCCCAAATTCATCCCCGGACATCCTCTTCTACCTGTGTTGAAAGCCATAAGCTGAAACTCCGGCCCACGGAAATCAATTTCTCTATCACCAAATCTTTCAGGAAAAAACTCTGACGAATTCTCGGACCAAACTTTTGGGTCACGTCCGATTGCCCAAGCGTTTACTAGAACCAGTGTCTTCTTTGGTATTTCGTAACCATTAATCACTACATCCTCTATAGATTCATGAGGAACCAATAATGGAGCAATTGGATACAGTCGAAGACCTTCCTTAATTACCATATGTAAGTAACTTAACTTTGCCAAATCTATCTCTTCCACCATATGTTTATCTCCAACAACAGTCTTTATCTCTTGCTGAAGTTCCTTCATAACTCTTGGGTGTTTAATAAGCTCAGATAAAATCCATTCAATGGCGGTTTTGGAAGTGTCAATTCCACCTGCTAGCATATCTAGTAAAACAGCTTTCATAGTTAACCTATCAATCGAAGCTGACAGATTGTCATGGGTATTCGAATATTCGTTTTTAAGAGACAACAATGTGTCAATGAAATTTGTTTGATCACATCGTTGAAGCGTGGCAACGCTGCATTCTTCCTTCTCGGTTATTAACGATTCTAACATTTCGTCAATCTCCTCGCTTAATGACTTCAACTTTCGAGTCAAACCCTACAAATTTCAATCACAAGCAAAGAAGCCTTCAAATTAGAAGTCATACAAACACTTTATCAGTTATGTAAGCTTAATCTTGTTTGGGATTTCTTACAAACATGATTCTGGTCTATATATTCTTCCTCTTCTCATATATAAGTTTAAGTTCTGAATTAAGCTCAGTACTTGTCTATTATAATAACTATTATAACAATATTAATCCAATTCCGTTTTGTACTTTGATATATCATAAATCACATGCAAAACCACGGTCAATCAATCACTCTTTTCGTCTCTAAAAATAATATGTGTTTCAATCTTCAAAGTTATTTAATGCAAGTATTTTATTATTGATCAAATATCCAAAATGCACCTTGATGAAGTTCGGATCCATGGTGAGATCCATCCGTAAAAAATCCCCTTTTGGCGACCCGTTTCAAATCCAAGTAGAAATAAAAATCCCTTTGTAGCTATGAAGGTTCAAATGAGGTGACTCCGGGCTACGCAAAGTAGGTAGTCGCTCTGGGATTAGCCGGCTCGCGTAGCCGGTTTGATATCCATGTTAATCGGGAAAAAAAAATCTTATCAGAGATTAAGACTTGATTCTGTTCAGTTTATTTTTCATTAAGACATATATGGATAAAGTTGTTTGTATGATATAACATAAATTGTTGTTCGATTATTGGGCTAACTAAACAATTTGAATATCTAAAATGTGGATTTTACCCCTCAGTCTATTTTTTTGAACCCAATTCCAAAGTACTTCATTTCCAATCATATCAAACCCAAATCAGAACAAATTCATTCTCAAAAGTATCAAGCCCTAATATTATTTTTTTTTCAAATCTAAAATCTTTAAATTAAAGTCAAGTATCAAATCTTTAATTGTTGGTGAGATTTTAGATATTAGTTACCAAATCCTTCCAGAAAAATATTTAATTCTTGTAGTCCTGTAGATATAAACATGGCAGAAGCAACAGAGAGGGAGGATGAAAAGAAAGAAAAAAGGATGAAGCAATAGAGAGGAGAATGTATAAAGCTGTGGTTCTTGAAGCCACCTCCTGCCATGGAAGCCACCAAAACCAACCCGCCTCCATCCTTTGCCATGGAAACCATAAATTTCAAAAACCCACCTCACCTCCATCCTGTGCCATGGAAGCAACCGAAGACCATTGGTTTATCACCCAACCTATTACAGGTTATCTCATGAGAAAGAGAGAGAAAAGAAGAGGGGGGAAGAGCATGAAGATGATGGTGGTTGACTGGCGATGGCAAGGGAAGCTCTGATGAGGCAAGGAGGTGCTGTTTTCAGTAGAGCTTCAAGGGATGGAGATGGAGGCAGTGGCTTCCTTTTGTTATTGTGGATGAGATTGTTTGTTAAAAGGAGGGTATTTAAGTAAAAAGTTTGGCTGAACGTAGACAAGTGCCCTCCTCAAGTTGTCCAAATAAGCTATTGATTTACAGATTAAGCCATAACCGAACAGTCATTTATGGTTGAACGAATAAGTTATATGAGCTATACAACCCATTAAGCCATAGTTAAAAAGCATAGGGGCCATGGGCCCCTCATTCCCCTAAGGTCGTCCGCCACTGTCATTTACGTTACAAGATGAACATGACAAAGACCGATAATCTAACCCGTAAGAGTAAAAGCAATACTAATGATGGAGAGTTTTATCTGGTAAGTGAGGGTGATAAGCGTTTCCTAAAAAAAATTGTTGCATACAAAACCGTTTGTAGACTATAATCTTAATTACTAGGTAAATTAATTAGAGTGTTGACTCTTACTAAGTAAACACTTACCGTATTTGGTAAATGGTTCCTTAATTTAATTTAATTTGTCATAAATAGCACGAAGAGCATTCATATTAAAAAAAACAACTCATAAAATGTTTTATATAACTAACTTTAGCACCTCAAGGTACTTCGTGGCAGAGCCGTGCCTGAGGAGTGCGGGTCAGACGTACGTCCAAGGCCCACAAAAAGTAAAGGACCAGGTTTTTTTAGAATTTAGTAATATAGTACTAGTAAATAAAAGAGTCACAAATTTTTTTAGTATCTAATAGGACCCAAAAAGAATTTTGTATTATATTAAGAACTCAAAACATTTATTAATTAATTATATTGGAAAATAAAATATTTAAAAACTAAAAAGTTAATTACTCGTTCATTTTATAGTATTGTTTACTGTCTCTCTGAGTTTTTTTTTATCTAATACCAAAGTCTAAAACCACTTGCATAGTAAACCTCATGACCGTTCCTTAGCATATTAAATTGAGATTTTGTAAAGCTATAGCCGGAATTATTTATGTTCAAATTATTAATTGTTTGTGTTTAGGTTCAGATTGTTAATCATTTAGGTTTAGCCCACTTTTGTCGTTAACGTATGTCCCGGGTTGTCCTATTCATGTAGTGTATTCGAAAGATTTTGATATAACAGAGCCTCCAAAAGTATTGGAACGTCCTTGGAAACCTTGTTATGTTTTTTATCATTCATCTCTCACTAACTCTTTTGATTATTCTATCCGCATGAATGATATTTTTATATTAGAATATAATACATTCCTACCCTGTTATTAACTAAGAAAACACCTGTCTTTTAATAAAAAAAATTCAACCATGTAAAACGGTCCAACTTATATATATATATATATATATATATAGGGGAGCGGTCAAATGCAAACCATTCAATTTGTACAAACCGTGCAAACCGCATTCAACTAATCATAATTTTTCATTTTGTTCATTTTTTTGTAATTATGAGAGGTTGATTAATCATT